GGAAGGGGGAAGAGGGAGGTTGCTGCTCTGCATGGAGCACACTGCCAGCACTTCCGACACAATCGAGTTTCACTTGTGCAACAACCCCCTTACGCATTTACTTATTTCCCTGGAGAGGAGACTGACACCCCCCCCCCAAGATTCCGGGCTAGGTGTAAGCTTCAAGTGTGTGGTCTTTCCACTCTCTGTGGCTCCCCCAAATTCGGAGCTCCACGCTGGCAGGCGGGTGCGGGGGCTGGGATCCTACAGGGGGAGTCCACCTCTTCTGAACCCAGAAACCCCGAGGGTAGGGACGTTGTAGCCTTGGTGGTGGTGACCCAGGCCAAACACGCGTGCTTAGGAGTGAGAGATGGAGTCACGCTGGTCTCAGAGGGGGCAGTTCCCGCCCTGCTCTTGGTTGGATGTAGCCCATCCAGCCGCAGCGCTGAGCAAACTGAGGTCCTGGAGAGAGAAGGGGCTCGGCCCAGGTCTCCCTGCTCCGCACCCTCTCAGGCTTTGTCCACTGCAGTGTTTTTTGCAGGTCACCAAGCAGAGGGCAGGATGGAAATTGCCCATCTTCCTCACGCTGTGCCTGTTGCAAGGTGAGTCCCAAACCCAACCCAGACTCAGAGCTTGCGGGATGAGCCCCGTGCCTTCCAGGCTGCAGAGATTTCTGGCGGGCCCTCAGTGGCGTTCAGGGCTCCCACGGAAGTTTTGGGCATACCCCGGCTTTCTCTCCGGGGATCCAAGGCCCTGCAGTGGATCCAGGGAGTGGTCAGATCTAGGCCCAGGGGGAATGGGAGAGGCAAGAGAGAGGGCGTATGCCTGTTTTGATCTTTTCTAGAAGATTCACTGTCTTGCTATGCCCAATATCTCTGCTCTCTTCCATTCAAGTTGATGGCTGAAAGTCGGCTGCATTTGCAAGATAAGGGTTCCAGGGCTTGTGTATAAAAGACGGCAGGCAGAGGGCTCATTCCCACTCATTCAAAAAACACTCAGTGCCAGGCCCAGTACTAAGGACTTAAAGGTGCAGATCTGTCCTACATGAAACAGTTTGGAGTTGACAAAGAAACGAGATGGGTCAATAAAATTTACATCTATGCATTTACTGATTTAGTCAACATACATTTATGGAGGGCTGACCGTACGCCCTGTGCTAAGGGCGGGTGGATGAAAGAATCTTGCCAATAGGTGCTGGCAGGCTGGTGTGGTGAGCCTGGCCAGGTATAGATCCGGCTCAGATGACAAATGGCCCTATGTGCTGTGGTCGGCATTTTATTTTATTTTAATGTTTATTTTTGAGAGAGAGAGAGAGAGATCACAAGCGGGGAAGGGGCAGAGAGAGAGGAAGACAGAATCCGAAGCAGGCTCCAGGCTATGAGCTGTCAGCACAGCCTTACGAAGGGCTCAAACTCACAAACTGCGAGATCGTGACCTGAGCCGAAGTCAGATGCTTAACGGACTGAGCCACCCAGGCGCCCCAAACAAATCAGAATTTTAATGAATCAAGGGTAGCTAATACAGGAGCAAGAACTCTGTACTATAATCAGACCATCTCTTTATTTTAGTCTCCCCCCAGCCCCTTTAAAATTTTTCCGTAGAAACCAAAGCCCCCAGATGAAAACTCAGGCAGGCCCATGATTTTTCTGTTAACATATTAGTGTAGGTGAGAGTTCTGACTGAATTTCTTTCACTCTCGAATGCTAAATTTGAAGTTCTAAGTGTGCAGTTAAATATTTTGGTTGGCCCTTTAATCTTCCTTCAACGATATGCCCCATCATCTACCCAAGGCCTATGGTCAGGAAGACGCTGCAGGGGGGACGCGGTGGCCGTCTTCTCTTTTTCTCTCTTCTGCCTCCTCCCCATGTTGGCAGTTGGGGCTCGGGACCCCAGCAGGGTCCCAGGAGCAAAAGGGAGGAGAGGCAATAGACAGGGAGCTTTTGCTTGCTGGGGTGGCCTGGAGCTCTCTGGCCTGGCAGGAGTTTAGAGCTGGCTCTTTCTTTGGTGGGTGCATTTGTGAACTTAGATGGTCCCCTGATGGCCCATCTCCTCCCTTCGCCCCAGGTTCTGCTTTGACCCCTCCACAGAGAAGACCCCATCTCAGATGCCTGCGGACCGTCTCTCTGCCCTCTGCACCCCGCCTCTGGGCCAAGGAAACACTCACTCCTTTCTCACCCCTCTGCGGGAGAGGGAAGACATCCATCGCAGGTGCAATGACTCTCCCTCTGTCCTGCCTCAAACCTCTTGTGCTCTCTCAGACAGAGTCGGTCTCCAGTCCATGGCTGCCCCACATCTGCAGCCCCCCCACCCCCAACTTGCTCCTCTCTGGGAGAAGCCATAGCCACAGACGACTGCCGGGAAATGATGGGTGAATGCGTTCAGGGCATCTGTCTCCACTGAAGGGCAGAGAATCTGCATCAGGGGCCCCAGATGGGCACCACGTTGATCTAAAGTGCTAGCTCTTTCTTTAATTTCCATAGGTGACTAATAAAAATTCCAAATGACATGGGGGCATCTGGATGGCTCAGTCCATTAAGCATCCTACTTCGGCTCAGGTCACGATTTCATGGTTCATGGGTTTGAGTCCCGCATCAGGCTCTGTGCTGACAGCTTGGAGCCTGGAGCCTGCTTCAGATTCTGTCTCCCCCTCTCTCTGCCCCTCTCTCTGCTTGCGTTCTCTCTCGCTCTCTCTCTCTCCCTCAAAAATAAAGAATAAAACATTAAAAAATAAAAAAAATCCAAATGACATATAATACATACCAAATACATTCCAAATTATACATAATATAACATATATCCCTTAATTATATATAACTAGGAGCGACTGATCAGTAATCTACTGAGTTCTTAAGGGCCAGTTAAATTTGGTATTAATAAAAGAAAAAAAATGTTGATTGCAAGAGCTGATTACAGACTCTTTCTTTTAAAGTTTATTTTTGAGAGAGAAAGAGAGAGAGAGAGAGAATCCAAAGCCGGCTCTGCGCTGACAGCAGCGAGCCCAATGTGGGGCTTGAACTCACAAACCATGAGATCATGACCTGCGCCGAGCCACCCAGGAGGCCCTGGTTAAGGATTCTCAATCAGCTTTCTACAGCGAGGTCGGACTGCCCCATCCTGCCGATTCGTGGAAGAGACATACAAAAGATTGTCCCGTGTGTGCCACAAGCAGGTCACAAGAATTCCTGAAAGCTAGGGCACGAACACTTTATCAGGGCACTACTAATGTTGTCCTGAGATGGTCCTTGTTTGTAACTGAATATTCTTGACTCTCAATGATAAATTGCCACTTATCCTGATTAAGAGCGGCACAGTTGGTGATGCGTCATGTAATTACATCTACCGTGAATATTGATATAGTCGTGGCTTTTATGGCCCTGAGTCTTCTAGAATTAGACCTTCGGACATACGCAACAGGCAGGGCCAGCTCGACGAGCTAAGACGGCTGGGTTTAATGCTCTGCTATTACCCTGGTGAACAAGGGGTTAATAATTTTGCAACAAGGGGCTCCGCATTTTCCTTTAGCACTGGGCTTTGCAATTATGTAGCCACTATGGGCAACAGGATATTAAACTTGGGTATTAAACTGAACCTACTTGTCTTCCGAGGCTCTAAAGACACCGACCCAGTTGATACGCGCCGGGTACCCACAGCCTAAAGCAAGATATTCTGCTGCCTGGGCAGGAACGCACAGAGCGGTTATAAAGCCGGTTGTCCCTGCAATAGCCTGCCGTGTAGCCGTCTGAAGAATCGTGAGCCCCCAGCAGAGCTCACCGGGAGAGCCGCTTTGGAGAGAGATGTCCATGTGTTGCGCCCTCCTCCACTTGCCTGGGGAGACAGGAGGGATCGCTGCCCCCTCCCGTTCAGGCAAGTTCAGAGAAGGAATCTGTAGGAAGACACTCAGCGAGTTTTTCCTATGTCCAGCTTCTCCTGACAGCAGAACAAAGGCGTTTCCTGGAACCTGCCGAAAGGAGCTGGCCTGGGGACTCTTCCACGAAGGCCACCCAGAAAAGACTGTGACCCCAAAAGGAAGGGCAGGTGGCCAGCCGTCATAGGTTTAGTGGTGGGGGGGGGAGGCCCAAAAGGCCAGTCGGAGAGACAGTTCTTGCCGGGAGGGAACTGCAGCCAGAGGCCACGGAAGGGTCTGGGAGGCAAAAGTCCCAGGAAGAGCTCTGGCCGCCCGTGTGCCCAGAGAGCATGGCGAACAGAGCGCAACTCTCTGCCTCACCTTCCCCTCTGTTCCTCTGTACCCAGTCCCCGATGGGCCTAAACACCAGTTTTGAGTAGAAGGAGTAGGGCAAAGAGACTGGAACGGCAGCCAGTCGTTGGACTGGACTGACCTTACCACCCTGGGCCAGGCTGGACTTTTTCCCCATCCGAGGGAGACCGTGAGAGTTACCACGAGTGAGGTTACGCCTGCGATTCATCAAGCAGCAGAGGCCGTGTGAAGAGACAGTGAGAGACACGACAAGCCTTGTTTCTGCTCGCCCCAGAGCGAGTTAATGTCATTCAGTAAGCAGGCCGTGGGCAGGTTCAACCACGATTTCCACCTGTTACCAAAGCGGGTGTGTTCGCAGGCCCGTTCAGCTGTGCGTTGATGGGAGCATGTGGTTGTTTACCCTCTGCCGGAAAATGCTGGGGGGGGCGAACACATCCCCAGTCACCGGTCTGGGGATGTACCCACCAAGTGGACCGGGATACCGGTGTTTCAGGCACCCTCTCCGCTCGGGGGGAAAGCACACTAACCTGTTCTTACCATCGAACTATCTCTTGTGTATTCACTCCACCAACCAGACTGCAGCCCTCTTGTCAGATGTTGACCCAGGCCCCGGACGGACTCGTAGGAGAAAGTCTGGCACATGATAGGAGCCAGCTAACAGTTGGAAAGAGTATTGCTGCATTTCTGTCTCTCACATGGGGCCCTGGATACAGCTGCATTCCGTATCTTGGGGTACTCCCGATCCAGGGGCTAAGCTCTGACATTTCTATGTTGATTCTTCCTCGCCTCACTTTCACGAAGGTGTTTTTCTGGCCTACTCCCTAATTCCGACAGAGTCTGGAGCTCGTACCTCCCCACCGTGACCTTTCGCGAATCTCCCTTCCCTCTGACCATTTTTTTTCCCTCTCTCTGCCCGCAGACGCAAACGCACTGAAGGGCCCGAGGCTGGTGTCTGGGGAGCCGGGGGGAACTGTCACCATCCAGTGCCATTATGCCCCCTTGGCCATCAACGTATACGAGCGGAAGTACTGGTGCCGTCTCAGCCCCCTGACGTCGTTCTGCCACACCATTGTGTCCACCACTGGCTATGCTCATCTTGGCTACCGTGGCCGCGTGACGTTTGCAGACTTCCCGCAGAGAGGCTTGTTTGTGGTGAGGCTGTCCCAGCTGTCCCCGGATGATGTGGGCCGCTACCGCTGTGGCATTGGGAAGAGAAACGACATGTTCTTCTTCAGCATGAATCTGAACGTCTCTGCAGGTACGGGCTGACGGCGGGTGGGTCAAGTCTGGTGAGGGGAATGCTGGGAAGGAGAAGGTGTGGGAGAAGATTGTCCGGTCCAAGAGGCCCTTAAACCTGAGGGGAGCGATGAGGAAAAGCTGGGGGTGGGGCAAGGACTTTAAGAAGTAGGCTTTCAGGGGCGCCTGGGTGGCTCAGTCGGTTGAGCATACAACTCTTGGTTTCGGCCCAGGTCATGATCTCACAGTTGCGTGAGTTGAAGCCCCATGTCTGGCTCTGCACTGGCAGTGAAGAGCCTACTTGGGACTCTCTCTCTTTCTCTCTCTCTCTCCTCCTCTGCCCCTCCCCTGCTTGCTCTGTCTCTGTCTCTCTCAAAATAAATAAATAAACTTAAAAAAAAAAAAAGTAGGCTTTTATTTCAGAAAGAAATTACCTTCGGGAAGGTAGATATTAGGAAACACTTCCAAAATGAATGCATGCAGACTGCCTCACCCAAATCCCCCCACATTTTGTGGCATGTGTTTTTGGAGAGGACTCCAAGAAGTTGAATTGAATAATATGGCTTCTTAGGCGCATGGTGTCTCTTTGTTCAGACAAGCAGAGCAGGTAAGAGATGGGGGACAAAAGAGGCTCTTCCTGAGACCGAGCCCCTTAGCAGACATCTGACAGCTTCGAGGTCCATGCTCTGTGTGGCAGGTTCCAGAGAAGTGACCCAGAATCGGGCACCCAGAGCCTGGGGAAGGGCGCCCAGGCAGTGGAAGACCAGGAGAGAGGCAGTGCCTAGGATTGCATTTGTCTTGTTCAGTGTCACTCTAACCATCTGCTGAGATTGGCTGCTCTATTTGAGGACCCGTATGTGGTGGGCTGTGGGAAAGAGGCCAGTATGGGCATGCAGGACATCTCAGTAGAGACTGTGGGCATAAAAGAGAGAGAGAGAGAAAGGACCATAAAATGTCAACATTTGCAAAAAGATTAGAGATTCCACCCGGTTTTCCCCTATTTTTATTTTATCCAACATATTGACCCAAGACTGTGTTGCTTAATGAGGATGCATTCCTTGGGGCAAACACTTTAAGCCTGAGATCTTTTGCTAAATCCTGTAGGCAGCTGGGATAGCCTTCCTATGCGGTCTCCTTCCGCCATTGACAGGTCTTTCCAGCGCCGTCCCCCCACCCACTCTGGCTGCGGGTGAGCTCGTCGTGGCATCCCTTGGAACGGCAACACCGGTGGCCAACAGATGGACCCCAGCAACCTCCCGGATGACAGAAAGACAAGGAACAGGATTCCACAGAGTTGCTCTGACTCCAGGAACCAGGAAAACAACAGCTTCCGCTGAGGGCAGGCAGACCCCAGGAACAACTGGGGCAGCAGCTCTAGGGACAGGTAGTCGGGTAGAGAGTTCTGTCCGGACAACAGTCCCCATTCCAGAGAGTTCGGCTTCAACCATCGGAGATATGTCCAATACGACAGAAGGTGTTTGGGTGTGGGACACCAACGGCTCGGTAGGGGATTCGGGCAGGCCCAGCGAGGAAGGGAGGGAGATAACAACTACTGAGGCCGATAGGCCACAAGAAGAAGCAGAGAAGGTCAGAACAGCTCTGGATGTAGTTGGGAAGGTCATAGGGACCATCAGGCCAACAACTCTGGTCTCAGAAAAACGGGTGCAGGAAATCTTGCAAGAAGCAACAGCCATTGCTAAGCCCCAAGCCCTGGGCTCCATTGAAAGAACTACCCCAGCTGCAGGCGTGTGGACCCTGGGGCCCTCCAGCATACAGGTGGCGTCTGAGGAGGGAGCTACCGCAGGGGACCTAGACACGCCTGCTGGATACAGCGATCCCCAAGCAACACCAAGCCAGGCCCCGGCAGCTGGGCCCAGGAGGCCCCTGGGCAAGGGGTATTCCATGAAGAGGTAAACTCCCAGCCCCTCCTCTCTGCCCTACTCCAGGCATGCCCCTCCCTGGGCTGACCTCTGCGCCCCCCCCCCCCACACCTGCTCACTTCTCTCCCTTTGTCACCTCAGGACAGCAAAGGGCAAGGCCCATAAACATCACAGACCCTCCCTTGTTCAAGGCTCCTTGCTAAGAAACCCTGAGTATTTTCATGTGGTTTTCAAGCAAAGATCAAAACAAAAGAGTAACAGAATATTTAGGTGGAACCTTTGGGACTTTTTTTTAAAAGATGAGGAACAAAAGCTCCAGACAGGGGAGGTACTTGCTGAAGCCACAGGGGAAGACTGTGAAACCATGGGGCAGAGCCCCATGCCCAGGGTGGATTCCCTGCCTCTCACTCAGTCCTCTTTCCCACGGTGACACAGAGTGGCCCCCACCTGCCTCACACTCGGTGCAGTAGGGACAAGACGGGGGCTCCTGTCCCAGCTCTGCTACGAACCCGCCGCGGGAATAAGGGGAGCCGACTTCCCTCACCTCAGCTTCTCACCTGTAAAGCGAGGGGCGAGGGCCGAATGGCCTTCGGACTCCTGTCCAGCTCCCGCCCGCCCTCCCCTGCACTTTTCTCATCCCCACCTGTTACTTCCACTCCAGGGCTTCTCCAGGAGAGAAAAACATCTCTCGGATCCTGACTCCTGTCTCTACGGTGCTCTTCCCCCTCACGCTCGTGGCTCTCGTCCTGTTGCAAAGGAGGCTCCGGATAAACAGGCCCTGTGAGTTGAGCCGAGGAGGGAGTGCTCGTTCCCAGCGGACACCCTCCGGACTGGGTGGGGTCCCGACTGGTAAAAGTGCTAAATTCTAGACTGAGCCATTTAACCGGTCCTGGCCTTGGTTTCTCAATGAAATGGGAAAATCAGTTATGCCTCAAAGGCACCCCCGGGCAGAAGGAGAAGCTCTTTCAGAGGATGGCAAGCCATAAGCTAACGGTGGGCATGGGAAATGCATGAGCCATGCCGGCAGCGGGCAACAGGAGCACAGGGACCAGGTGCGGGGGGCAGACCACATCTGCACCCTCTGCCTCATGGCCCAGCCAAAAGCCTCTTCCGGCTAGGTTTCCGTACTCCTCAAGGGAGTGTTCCGTGGTGTTTAGCTCTGATGAAGAGAGGGCGAGATGTTCCGGGAGCAAGTGGAAGAGGCTGAGGTGCTCACACCCAGGACCTTGAAGGCCTGGCCCAATCCTTTTCAATCCAAGGGCTCAGTTGCAATTCATCTGTGTCAGGAAGTTCCCAGAAGGTTGTAGGGGTTGGGGGGTGGGGTACTCAGGGAATCGCATTCAGTTCCCAGTACCCTCACGGCATGCTCTGTGTCTGTGCAGCTCAGGAGACAGAAGGGACAGCAGGGGTCACCTTGATTCAGATGACGCATTTCCTGGAACTGAGCCTCCAGCCAGACCAGCTGCCCCACGTAGAGAGGAAGATATTCCGGGATGAGTCTCCTCCTCAGGCCCGTCTGACTGTCCCCGAGAGGCACCCTGGCCCCCAAGGAATGGAACAATAAGCTGTTCAGTCCCCATGGAAAGAGAGCCAGGACGAAACAGCATGACTTCAGCCTTTTTTCATCCTTCCTCCACCTATACAGAGGGAAGCAAATGGACTGGGGAAACAGAGGCTGGCCGTCCTTGGGCCTAGGAAAGTCAAGCATTTCCCACAGCCAAAGGTGGTATATGACTCAAAGGAGGCTGCAAGAAAGGATTTCTTAAACATAGGCGGAGGTCACCTAGGAGAGCGTGGAACTTCCATTTCCGGGAGTTTGAAAATAGAGGAGGCTTCCAATTGCTACGAATTCTTAGCCATCATTCCTACTCCTTGCTAGGCATCCCCTTTTCTCAGGTCTGTTAGCATTCAGCCTGCTGCACACATTTATTTAATCATATTCACGTACACGAGGCTTGCCTTCTCAAGAAGATTCTAAGCTCCTTTAGGGCAGTAATTGTGTTTGACCCACATCACTATGTCCCCAGAGAACTTCCAATTCAGTAGGGCGCCCAGTAAGTATTTGTGCTGAACGGCTGACCAGAGGGCATGGGTTCAGTGGCCTCCGAGGTATTCTGAGTCCCCCTTCACTCCCCTCCAGTCCCCCGGAGGACTCCATAGGCAGGTGTTTTCTCCATAGAAGCGAAAAGGCACAACCCCCATTCCTCAAATCATCCCCCCACATTTGGGCCCATAGTCATCATGCCACAGACCTTTTGACCTAGGCAAAATTTTCTGGGATTTTCCTAAATTCATGGGCGAGGAGGGTATTTTTCAGTAGATTCTCACCTTTTTCATAAAGCTCCTCTTGTTCAACGGCTTCTGAATCCTTGAGATCAAGGACTGTTGATGAAGTTGGGAAATGACCATTTGGGGGAGGGAGGGGGGTGGATGACAGAGAAGGTGGCCAGAAGGAATTTTATGTGGATTCTGCTTTTAAAACCTTTTCATCCCATGCCTATTGGGGAACTTTCACTCCATCCTTGGTCCCACTGTCTTTCAGGCATTCCATCGGCTCTTTTGTTTTGCCGAATCTGTTAACCAACTGTCTGAACTTCATGTTTGGGCAAAGCAGCCTTTGAGCAATGGAAGAGAAAGAAAAGGAAGGCTCCAATGTCAAGTTGAGAATTGTCAAGTGGACATTTCCAGAAGGATCAGCCCTGCCTCCTAGGCTATCAGCAACACCAGAAACACTTTGTTAACACATCCTCACAGCTGGTGCTGAACCCGGACACTCTCCCCAGAAAACCATGGAGATTTAGTCTTCAACTTTGGTGAGAGAGACCCCAATGTTTTGGATACGTAGGGAAGTTGAAAACATCTGACCAAACAGAATCACAGAATTTCAGAGCTAAAAGGTCCTTAGAAGTTAACCACTCTAGGGTGAGGTAACTGAAGCCTTGCGGGGGAGAAGGAAGTTGTTTAAACCCAGTTAGGAATAGAGGAAGGCTCAGAAAAGAGAGCTCATAACCTTGATTTAGTGCTTTCTCCACTTCGTCACTGCTAAACAATGTATCAAAGCAAAACTAGTTAAAAATAAATCAATGACACCACTATGGCCTTGCTCCACACCATTTTCATGAATGCTGAAAAACCTGTAAGAGATAGAGAGATAAGGCAGCCACATTAACCCATTCAACCAATAAGGAAGCGGGCCCTGGAGGGTATGTAATACAGCTAAGGTCGTTTGGCTTATTAGAGGTGGGGATAGACTGAGACCCTCCCCCCGCTGCCCTGGATCACTCAGTGCAGGATCACCCCACCTAACTGGTGTTTACCAGGGGCGTCCACAGAATGCTAGCTTCTCAAGATTGTTAAGAGGTAGTCTGAGGGGGGGAACAAAAAAAGCTTCGGTAGATCAAACAAGTTTGGGAAATGCTGGTTAAAGAATAAACAAGTTTCTTTTGCGTAGGACTTTTTGGAGCCTCTAATCCACTAAGATGCATTGCAAATAGCCGTGGGGTGTGGGGACATGATGAGTGTTTTCCCAGTGTTTTGGACTATTGTGTGTTGGTGAAGCAATCTCACTGGACCGGGATCCTCAGATCACTTACTGCTTGGGGAAGTTGGATGCACTAAGGCAGGGGTCAGCACCCCTTTTCTGTAAAGGGCACGATAGGAAACACTTTAGAGTCTGTAGGACACACAGCGTCTGTTGCAACTCCACAGTTCTGCTGTTGTAGCACTGAAACAATGACTCTGACAGTGTGCCAACAACATTTTATTTACAGAGATAGGTGGCAAGCTGCATCTGGCTCCGGAGCCACGATTTGCCAAGCCCCGAACTAGCACACAAGACTCCGATGTGAGGGATCAGACCCTCATTCTCCCTCAAAAGCTGCCCTTGCCACGCTGCTCAGGGACCTCTCCTTTCTCCGAATCCCTGTAACTCTTTCTGCTTGGGGTTCAGCAGTCGGGACACCCGGCCTGACTGCCCCATCCTGGGGAAAGAGGGGACCAGCTCGGCAAGGGTGTTGGCCACGTGGCTGGAGTCGGGAGCGGCTTCTAGAAGTAGGACCAGGTGCATTAGGGAAAGCTGAGGTCCACCGGCAGGGGACGAGCTAGTACAAGTTCAAAGGGTCAGAGCAGAGCCAAGATTAGAGTCTCCGGGCCTACTGTTCGGAGCCGGGCAGAGATAAGATCTGAGGGAAATTCTCACCTGGAAGGAAATGGGGCAGCCCCATGTCTTTACAGCTCTTCTTTATGGGCTCCCTGATAAGCTGGTGTGACGCGGGAGTAAGACAGACAGAGCAGGCGGGCTCCACCACTCGGTATTGTTGTCCGTGACTTGTTTTTCCTCTTCCATCCCCCGTTAGCACGATACATCACTGGGATGCGAGGCTGGGAAACATCCATCACTAGGCTGGAATCAAGGAAGTCTCTCTCTCTCTTTTTTTTTTGTTTTTTTGTTTCTTCTTCATGGAAATTTCTAATCCAAGATACAGGTGATGAGGGAGCCTAAGGCAAGCTGACAGGCCGCAAGCACTGCCCCCCCCCCCCGTCCCCCACCCAGGTGGGATATGTGTGATATTTCCCAGGCACTCCTGACTGCCTAAAAACAAAGGAAAGGGGAAAAACAAATGGTTAACTGATGGAGATCATAGTCCTGCTGGACTGAAGTCTCCATCACCCCTCCATAGTGATGTGGGAAACAAAGGCAGGAGGAGACCTGGATAGAACTTAATTTCCTTATAACCTGCAGCCCATTGGCAAATGCTTGAGGCCGGAAGAGTAAACTGTTTTTCTAGGAACTCCTAACTGTCTTAGTGCTAATGCTTTGCTAGAGGGACAAACAACCCTAGCCTGACGAGAACGAGGCCTCCAGTATCCTGTGAGCCTTCTTTAGCTTGTGAAAATCTCACTGGAAACTTCCCCTGGACTTTACCTCTCCCAAACGCATAGTATAGAAGCCAGTCTCTCCTCATGGTCCCAGGGCAGCTCTTCCTGCCCACGGGTCCTGTCCCTGTGCTTCAATAAAATCACCTTTTCGCACCAAAGATGTCTTCAAGAATTCTTTCTTGGTCGTCGGCTCCGGACCCCACGCACCCCGCTATCGCCCCGAAAACCTCATCACAGGCAAGCACTGACTTTCCTACGATCGAGCAGATTCTCCCCGTGAGGGCACAAGTCTTAACGCTGCTGCTCCTTCCCTAGTATCTCTGCACAGAGGGGGCTACCGTCAGCTTTCACCTCGCATCTGATACCACATTTCTGTAAGGCGGGTGTGATGATTCACATTTTACCGATGTGAAAGCCGAAGCCAGAGGAAGTAAGTAGTTACGCTCTTCGGGAAAGGGCAAGCCGGGAACTGGACACAAAGCAGTCTATCTCCAGGCTTAAATCCTTGATCGGTGCACCACACTGCCTTGCTCGACACTTAGATTTATGGCCTGGCATCTGATCAGGTCCTTTCCTGTTTAATATTCTAGGACATTCCTTGTTTTCCTCTGGGAGGCCCAGTGTATAGAAGTTTTTATAACCATTTCCAGTAATCTGTTTTCTTTGGTCACCCAGCTGGCTTACTCCTGTCCTGGCTAAGTGGAGTATAAAAGTTCAGGGAGCTGGAAATGAGCGCTAAAAATTCAGTCACTGCCCAGAGGTCCGTGCTGGCATTAGTACAAACAGAGCTCAGATCTTCAATTAGCTGCGGGGATGTCCGTCCATCTCAGGTAACCCAGGGCAAATGCTCGACCCCCAGCCAACTTGTCGCCCTTCTCCTCTAGGACTCTGGGGGTTTCTTCCTCTCCTCCAGCAGCCAGTGTGGTCTCAGACAGACAGAATCAGCTTACTGACAGCATCAGTCAGACACAAAGAGGAAGGTATTTCCACGGAAAAACCTGTAAAGCACTTAAGGCAAGTAAACATGAGTTGTGTGGTTATTTTCCACTGGTACAGATATTCCAGGGCTAAGAGCCTGACAAGACGGGTGGAGATGGAGATTCTACTCAAAAGGAAACAGACCCTCTGGCGGGGTCCAGCCACCACCAAACTCTCCACTTCCCCCTAAAGGATGCGGCTTGGGTTGCCGGCACCAGCCCTCCCTGGCCGCCCCCTTCACTGTCAGCAGGAGGACGAGCCATCACCCCACTGCCCACTCTCCAAGGGGCCAACTGAAACCCAGAAGGGCAGCAGAGAGGCAGGAGGGGTCACTGTGCCACACTTCCAGAGGCAGGTAGAAATCACGAACACCGAGGCTCCAGGCCAGTAGGCCACTCTTTGCCCCCTGGCCCCATTTTGTTGAGGAGGTACATTCCCTGGTTAGCTTCTGGAGTCTTCTGTGTTCTGCCTTTTCCGATCTCTGGCTGAGTTCCCGAGTTTTGCTTGTTTGCTGCCTTGATCTAGGTCTCCCAGTTCAGCTCTGAGAGGAGAAGGTCAAACAAGGGCCACATCTTTCCCTAATTTCACTAATCCCTGGCTCCCTAACCTGAGTCTCTTAGCAGGGAGGAGGAGAGCCAGGACCGCCGTGGCCCAAGCATTTTCTGATTCCCCCCATGAGCGCAGATGTCGTACTTTTCCCCAGACAAG